TCCATATTTACTCTCCAAAGAGGCCCCCACCCAGACCCATCCCCCCATGCTATCCCTATAAACTTGAACATCCCATGGCCAATCCATCTAGCCTGCACATCTTCGGACTGTGGGAGGAAACCGGATCACCCGGAGGAAACCCACGCAGACACGGGGAGAATGTGCAAACTCCACACAGACAGTCACCCAAGGGTGGAAATGAACCCAGGTCCCTGGCGCTGTGAGGTGGCAGTGCTATCCACTGAGCCACTGTGTCACCCCTGCTGTGCTCGAGAACCCAGGAAGGAATGGAGAGGGTGCCAAGGAGGGTTGGGCAGAAGGTCTGACTTGGTGCACCGCATCTTGTCAAAAATACGAAAGAAAACAATCAAACAAAACCTTGCCCTCCACCGATTCCTGTGGTCTCCAATACCTTTCCAATGAAATGACAGGGACTCATGGTGATAATAAAAACTTTAAAGTTTTACAGTACATCCTGTAATGATAAATTCAGGGAGACGGAAAAAGCAAGTAGTTTATTTTTTGAAACGGCATACAATGTTGCTTTCCAATATTGAAAGGACAAGAGTTGTAAATGATTTGAGGACTCCTTTGGAAAGTTTCAATGAGGATGCACACTTTCGTGCCTGCTTCTAATAATCTCAATGGGCACCTTCTCTCTCCCAAATGACCTCTGACACCCCTCCTTCGAAAAATCGTCTCCAGGACCACATCCAAACGGCAACCTTACCTCTCTAAAAGACTCCAACTTTAGCCTTTCTGCATCTGAAAAGCACACGTCACGTTTTGAACAATCCACGAGCAGAAAAGCAGATCGGTTTAATATGTGCAGTTGCCTCAGTGAAAGTCAACCATGCCTTTTGGAATGTGCCTTGCTTACCAGGCACTGCAAAAGTACTAGGTGCCAGCTAGGTGGAACCTCCAGATTCAGGCATTCAGACCATCTTCATAATAACAGAGAGGCTTTCTGCCTTTACAAAAGCTCAGGTCACAGATTCTAGGCTTTTGCTGCCAGATTGTATCAATTGGTCCAGATCCCAGATTTTGGTTTTAATTGTTTTTCCAGCTGTGCCTCCTTACTGGTGCAATAAAAAAACGAACTGATGGTTCGAGTCATATTTGAGTGTTAAGCGCAACCAGGCAACAGTTATCTTTGCTCCAAAACATGCAAACATAGGGTTGACTGTGCGATACATGTGTATGTCTGTTTGTGTAAGCAATGTCAAAGCTCATTGCTTGATGAAATGAAACAGTAACCGATTCCAGTTTTTCACGATCTTCCTTTGCTTCAGCAAGCTACATACTTGGCCCTATACCCCAAACTGTTGAAAATCGCACATTGACAGGATGACTGTGTTGGAAAAATCTCTTGGTGCTTTCTATTGTTTTCTGTGGATTGAGATATCAAATAATGTAACGGTTATGCAGCAAAATCATAGTAGATGAAACTAGGTGGTCTGTAATAATGAAAATGGCCTCATTAAAGAATAATGCTTTTGCAAAAATTGAGGATTTTGAGTCTTTGCGAAGTCCATTAGGATTTTTTAAAATATATAGGCACAGAGGAGGGATTTGCGTGATCAATACAGCGTGGAGCTGGAGGAACACAGCAGGTCAGGCAGCATCAGAGGAGCAGGAGAGTCGACGTCCCTGGCTCCAGCATCTGCAGTTCTTGCTATCTCATTTGCGTCACCATGTTGTTCATCGCATAACGGCAATTTTTATTTAACAAAGCTTTAAATAAAACAAACTTTAGACGAGGAAATATTTGACATCTCTGTTCCATTAGAGAAGAAGACATTACCCAAGTGTTTGATAACTCAGGGCAGTGAAAATCCTTCTCTCTTGAAAGAAGTTGTACAGCAAATTGTAACATGCTTAGGATGTCCTACTGCATGATACAATTAATCACACGCTAACGTCAGAAATATAGTCACCGTTGTCATGGAGACAGGGCACCATTTTATACACAGCCAGATTCCATTCAGCAACTGAGCGTTCAGATTTTTTGTGCACTCATTAAAAATGTTTTCTTATGTATTCACAGATTAGGAGCGGTTGGCATTCGTTGCGCAGTTGCTAATGCTCGAGAGAAGGCAGTAGTGAGTGGCTTGCAAGGCCATTTCTGAGGACAGTTAACAATCGCTTCTATCCTTGGAATCACATGTTAGCCTGACCTTTTAGGGACAGATATGAGTGGACCTGGAGGGTTTTTAATGACAACCCAGTAGTTTCAAAGCCACCTTTGAACACAATTGCTTTCTATTCCACATTTGTTGTCTTAACTGCATTGAAATCTCCAACAGCCATGATAGGATTTGAACTCACATCTCCAGAGCATTAACCAAGGCCTCTGGATTACAAGTCCAGTAAAATAACTACTGTGCAACCATCTCCTTCTTCATCAGCCAGACAACCGGAACATTCCCTGCTCTCCCTAAAATGGGATGTCATTGGATCTTTCATATCAGAAATAGTAGGAACTGCAGATGCTGGAGAATCTGCGATAACAAGGTGTAGAGCTGGACGAACACAGCACGCCAAGCAGCATCAGAGGAGCAGGAAGGCTGACATTTTGGGCCGAGACCCTTTCATATCTTGTCTTTGAGATAAAATGTTAAACCCCAGTTGGAACTCCCAACAAATTAATCAAAGAGAAGTGTGTTCTGGTATCCTGACAGACACACGTTATCCTTCTAGAGTTGAAGACCCTGCTGAAGGACACTTGATGAGATCCTGCAGTATGTTTTGTATCCGGTGTACACTCCTGCCATTATGCCTGGCATTGGAGGGAGGGAGAATGTTTAAGATGCAATCCAGCAGACTATTTTACCCTGAATAGTGTCAAGCTTCTTTGGAGTCACATTCACCCAGGTAATTGAGGAGTCCCAACTTGTGCATTGTGGATGATGGGCAGGCTTTGGGGTGCCTGGCCTGCAGCAATCTGTGTTATTTCCCATGCTCTCATCTGTTTTGTAACCATTCTGGTTATATGCCTGGTCCAGTTACATTTCTGGCCAAAGATATCGAGGTGGGGATTTCAGTCATCTACCCTTCATTCATTCAGTCATCATTTGCAATTCCATCAAATGTTAAAGGGGAAACGGTTAGTTTTTCTCTTGGTCAATACAGCGTGGAGCTGGAGGAACACAGCAGGTCAGGCAGCATCAGAGGAGCAGAAGAGTCAACGTTTTGGGTCAGGACCCTTCATGAGGAGTCTGAAACATCGACTCGCCTGCTCCTCTGATG